TTGATTCAGGTGGAATACAAAGGAGAGACAAAAAAGTTCACTCCAGAAGAGATCAGTTCGATGGTGCTGACAAAGATGAAGGAGACAGCAGAAGCGTTTTTTGGTGGGAAAGTCAACAACGCAGTCATCACATGTCCAGCCTATTCAATGACTCACAGCGACAGGCAACAAAGGAAGCAGGCACAATTGCAGGCATCAATGTGCTCAGAATCATCAATGAGCCAACAGCCGCTGCTATTGCTTACGGACTTAACAAGAAGACGGAGAGAGAAAAGAACGTCTTGATCTTTGATCTTGGTGGTGGAACATTTGATGTCTCACTTCTTGCTATTGATGATGGCGTCTTTGAAGTGAAGGCAACAAACGGCAACACACACCTTGGTGGCGAAGACTTTGATAACAGAATGGTCAACCACTTCATTGCTGAGTTCAAGAGAAAGCACAAGAAAGACATTTCAGGCAATGCACGAGCAGTCAGAAGACTCAGAACATCGTGTGAAAGGGCGAACACCGTCATCGGCAGCAACAGCAAACATCGAAGTCGACCAGTTGTATGAAGGCATCGACTTCTACACGTCACTCACAAGAGCACGTGGAGTCCCATAGTTGAAGTCACATTTGACATTGATACAAATGGGGTTCTGAATGTGTAAGCTGAAGACAAGACAACGGGAAAGAAGAACAAGATCACAATCACAAACGACAAGGAAAGACTCTCAAAGATACCAATCAACAAGATGGTTGCAGACGCAGAGAAGTTCAAGGCAGAAGACGACAAGATAAAGGAACTTATCGAGGGGAAGAATGGACTTGAGAATTTCTGTTACTCGATGAAAAACACACTCAACTAGCAAATTGCAACAAAGCTCTCACCAGATGACAAGGCGGCAATTGAAGCAACCATCAAGGAGACACTCGACTGGCTCGACAAGAACCAATCAATATCAAAGGATGAATACACACAGAAACAGAAAAAGCTGAGGCGAAGATCAAGCCAATCTTCAAACAAAAATTATCAACAGTATGCAGCAGCTGGTAACATGTCTGGAGTACAACAGTTGGGCACAAATAAGACCGACACAAAGAGCCGAAGATCGAAGAGGTCGACTTATGTGATTCACTTGTCTTTGCAAAGTTATTCGAAGTGACCCAAAAAAACTAATTTAAATTTGAATTAGTTTTTTAACTATTAATTTGTAACAAAATTACTAATTGTTTTGCGTTTATCCATGATGAAATGTTTTTTTGGAAATAATTATAATTTTTGATAGTAAATTAATAATAAAAATATAACTCGTTATATAGTTTTAAAAACACAGTAGACACAACAAAAAGGATAATTTTATACACAGGAGGAAGTCCTTAATAGCGGGAAGACGTCCCTAAACCACAAATTACCTCCTTCCCTAATATTCCCATCCTTCTTCCCCATTTCCATTTTTTTTTCTTTATTTGAATTAAATATATTATATTATTATGTATATATATATAATAATATATTATTATGTATTATAATGGATTATAATATAATATACAATATATATCTAGTAATTTGATAAAAACATGAATTTAATTGTTGTTCAGAAATGCGTTTTTTGTTGTATATTAATAATAAAAAACATATTTGGGTCATGATATTTATTTTGGAAATAATTCCACAGTTTTATAGTCGATAAATTGGTAAAAAATATTTTTGTAATAACAAGATAAAAATAATTCTGTTTTACCACAAATGAACAAATAGCTTGATATTATATATATTTTACTTAAAAAGATATAACCTTTTACCACTTTATTAAGTTGAAAAGATGCTTAAAAAAGATTAATTTAAAAAATGATGTTGTTTTTAGTTAAATAGGAAGACAATATGATGGTTTTATTATAGTTTATTTTAATTGATTATTAATTAAATTTATTGTTGCTTTATTTGACTAAATATAAATATCAAATTCCAAAATGAGTTTGTTTTCATTGTCAATCGATAATTCTTTATGCACAATTGTATTTAATTTGAACATAAAAATACCAACAAACGGGCTTTTTAAAGTATTTTTAATTTGTGATGGCATTTGATAAAATTGGGTTGTCCCTCTTAAATAGAGTGTTTTACATAAAAAATAACACCATTTTGTTGTAAATAATTAAATATTTTTATTGATAAAACAGTCATGTTTTGATTAATTTTTGAAGAGAAAATTAATTAATAACAATAGTTACATTACCATAATGAATAGTTTGTTGAATTAAGACTAAAATGAAATTTATTTATTGAAAACTGAGTTTATTTTAAGTGTTAAAAACAATCTTTGTTTTGTGTATTAAATATTAACTTCGTGTTTCAAAAAATATGTTTTTCATTTTGATAGACAATCCAAACAATATTTGCTTCTTATTTTTTAGACCAAAATATTTATTTTATTTTACATTGAAAAAAATCCATTTTATAAATATAAAATGAAACAAACCAAAAATACAATGAAAAAACACAATATAAATAGATGATCTGTAAAAACATTTGACAATAATTAACAATTGAGATATATGCCTCTTGGAGAAACGTTTTCAGTTTCCCCACGAGGAGAGGAAGGGAAGAAAACCATATATGAAGCGAAAACGAAGGACTATACATATAGCAGGAGT